TGCAGAACAATGTATTGTTACAGAGTTTGATAAGAGTTCCAGAGTAGTTTATTTTTGTATTTGCTTTTACCGTTTAACTCTACCATATATTTTTTCAGCTGGATTCGCAGTACCAACAGCGAAACTTTCAAGCAACTTTTCCGGCTGCATCAAGGAACTCAGAGTCAACAGCAACATCATCCACTGGGACGATGCGTCAGTGAACGCCGGCGTTCTGCGAAATGCTTGTCCGCTGTCATGACAAGCTCCAAGTTAGTCCGCCGCCGTTGGCCGTAAAGTGAAATGTTGCGACAGGCAAATCTTGTGCATTTTCAGTGCCTGGCAAATAACGCAGTGTGTTTTCTTGAAGTCTGTAAATCCGTTTGCTATTGAAATCTGTTTTTATTCTTGTTGCCACAATTTACCGCAGTCATGGTAAACTGTGCACAAACGTAGCGTGGGGCCGTTGGCCATCCTCAGTCATAATCGATTCGACTTATTACTCGAGCGGTTGATCGTTCATAAAGTTTTATTTAATTTCAGGGTCAGCATGTGCAAACATTCGAATGTAGCCGGTAGCACGGAGAAGAATCCAAAAATGTACCAATAAGCGCTGCTTGCCCATATCTCGGACACGAAGAGTGCTATGGCGATGCACGCTGCTGCATGTAACGCTATAGCTAGAAACGTTAACGTTAAAATTATAGAACGATCAAAAAACTGGCTGCTGCCCGCATTAGTGCTATGCATTCAAATACCCCAATTAAACATGGCCTGCTAACTACTTTCAGCAGTCAAAAACAATAAAATCCCGTCATAATTAAACCTGCATATATGCATAAATGAAATTACTTTATAGTTAATACATTGCAACTCATCCATATTCAGTTAAATGGTCGGCGTACAAATATTTAAAAGACATTAATAAACTGGAACCGGTTCTAGTATCGGTTAAGAAGGGTGATGAAACAATGGTCTGCTGGTTATATTATGCAGTACACGCCACGGAACCATTCACGGAAGTTTATACTACATACGGTATCAGTCGTAATGTCTGCAATTTTATTTCTGACAATTTTCCTGTACGTCGAAATTTCAACAATACCAGATAATTTTCTGCCTTTGAACATCTTCCGAGATGATTAAAGGTGTTATCTGGAATTTAACTTCAGTTTCATTTGGACTATCTATGTAGTCTAGTAGGTCAAAGCAACCCAGAGTTTAGTCATGAAATCTGCTCAATTGACAAGGCAAGATATTATCGCCTGGCATAAGCGTACAGATTTCAATACGGTTTGTCCGGAATTTCCTTTAACTTGATGCAAGCAAAATTGGTTTTCACTGTTTTTCGATGTCGTTAAGCATCGTCAGGAACTGTAGCTAATGTCCTCTGTATGAATTGTTCTCCAATTAGAGGATGAAGGGTGTTGCCAGCATCGAAGTTAGTCCTGTTCAATATGACTAATCTTAGCTATGCCAACAATATTTTCATCATGTCATCGAGATACATAGCTTTCTTTAAGCGAAGTAAGAGTGGGACTAATCATCAGAGACGAAAGTATACGTATGTGCTCCTAGAACAGGAGAAATAGTCCATTTTCCTGTACCCAATCGCCTGGAAAAATTCACCGTCTTCAGATGTTTTGTCTGTTCCAATGGACAGTCAAAAGGTGAAATTACGAATTTGATAGAAGTAACAGTGATGTCTTTCCCCCAGCTTTGTAAACGGCTTAAAATGGATGTGAAGACGAATTGCCGAGTTTTGTATGACACCATCCGCTCCATTCTCCATTATGAGAACTGCACCCTAAGAATCGAGGACGACAAAACGAATTCTACCACCAGTGTATGTGAATCATCTCGCTGACGCGGCCATAATCTGTAGCTTTTGCAAAATCATCCAGTACTGTCGGGTTTTCCTTTAGCTATGGCAAGTACCATCGTCTACAAAGCGATATTTTCATTACATTGAACGCCGTTTCGATCTCTGAACGGAAAACCAGGCAAACAAGTTAAAGCCTGGAAGATTCTGTTACAGATGGCGTTGAAGTCCTCGCTGGACCGACAAAGTACCGGAACAGACGGCGGAAGAAGGACTGGCTAAACTCAGTGGCGGTGATTTAGCATGATCGATAAATATAGAAAACAGTGATCCGCGACGCCATTAGAACCAGCCAAAGCAGTACATTACAAACGCAGAATAAATGGTCAGAGGGAAAGATTCAATTATTTGTTAACACGAACGATTTTCATTAAGATTACTTTGAAATTAATTCGCACTACGATTATGGACTAATGCATGGC